GTAGCTCTTCTCTTTGCTTCCTTAATGACTTGGGTGTACATATATCATTGAGCTTCTGTTGAAATTACTTACGGAAATGCCTGTCCATTCAACTAGACTGGAAGCCTGTAAGGGCAGATAGTATGCCTTGGTAATCTTTGTACCCTGGCATCAGTACAGAAGCTAGCATAGAGAATCCACTCAGTTCATTTGTGAATTCGTTCTGTAACGGAGTCAACAAATATTTATTGAGATCTTACTATGTGCCATGCACTAATCTAGGTTTGAGTATATAACAGAGATCAAAATTGGTAAAAGTTTTTGCCCTAAAGAAACTTACGTTCCAGTTTGGAGAGCAGACAGTTAATATAATAAGTAAGTCAAATAAACATTATATTATTAAGTAATAAGAGGGAAAATTAGAGGAGGAAGAATAGGAAATTGAGGGCGGGTATTGAAATTTGGATAAGTAGCCTCATAGTGAAAGTGTCACTGAGGTAAAAACCTAGAGAAAGTGAGGTAGTTGGCTCTTGGGATGTCTGGGGAAGAGAATAGCAAGGGCAGTAGCTTCTTAAAGGGTGAAGCCTCTATGCCTGGTGTGTTTGGAGAAGATAGAAGGAGACAGTGACAGGGAAAGTAATGGGAAATTAAGTAAGAGAGAAAGGCGGTTGGGGAGAGATTGTGTAAGGCCTTGCAAGTTCTGTTAAAGTCTTGGACTTTTACTCTAAACAAGATGGGAAGCCACTGGGCGGCTTTTTGGACAAAGAAGAGATCAACGAACTCATTAAATGTTTTTTGGAACTCACAGGACCAAATATGCCTAGTACAAGAAGACACAGATCTCATACGCGTTTGTAGTCTAAATTTTAAAAGGAGTCACTTAGGTTAGAAGATTCCAAACCCATATAATCTTGAAAAATACTGAGTTAAAAAATCTCCAATTGATACAAAACAAAACTTGCACCACCCAGTGGAATTAGGGAGCACTACATATAGGCAAACCACTTGGAAATTTTATTTTTTATCCCTGTTAGCCCAGATAAGTGGATATTTGTCATTTCTGTGTACTTTGCCAAGTTTTGGCCGTGTCGAATAATACTGTTTTCAAGTTATTTTTATCTTAAGTAGAAAAAAATCAGAGAGCCGCAAACTTATCCTCAACTCCTTTGCAGTGAAGATTGGGAAAGATAGGTTGAGTCATTTTTGTGAACTTTGGGATGAAAATACACTAATGAGTTAGGGCTGCCTCTACATTTAAAATAGGTTTTATTTATTTATTTGTTGTGCTTGCTTTTGTTACTTTGGAATATTGAAAAGCCACCCCAGATTGCTGTAGTTCCCTAAAAAATAAAAGCTGAGAATCATTGTAAAGAATGAAGTGACTTCCTCTTTCCCTTAATAGTCTATTTCTAATTATTAGTGCCCATTTATACGCTACTACACACAATTAATGTGATGGGAAATCTTAATTCATCTTTCTCCTTTGAAAATTTTGAGATCTGGACACTTGTAATAGAAAAAGTATTTCAGGAAAGCATAATTATTTTAAAAAGTAAGGACCTTTTCCACATTTTGATCATTTCCAGATTAAATACCAGATTAAAAAACAATTTTTTGAATGTTTTTATTTATTTCTGAGAGAGAGAGAGCATGGGCAGGGGAGGGTCAGAGAGAGAGGGAGACACAGAATCTGAAGCAGGCTCCAGGCTCTGAGCTGTCAGCACACAGCCCAACGCGGGGGATGAACCCACGAACCATGAGATCATGACCTGAGCCAAAGTCAGGTGTTTAACTGACTGAGCCATCCTGGCACCCCTCTAAATGCCAGATATTAAAATGACTACAAAAGTGAAAATGCTGTTGTGTTTGCTCTTGCAGAGTTGTTTATGAAATAGCCAGAGAAATGAAATTATACTTTTTTCCTACAATATAAATTGAAAGTTGTCTGGACTGTGATAGCGTAACATGGGTCAAAGGGGCATAATCAGAGGGTGACATGATCTTACTGAACTCACGTCAAGTGATTTGCCTGGTAACGCCTGATCATGTGGACCAGCATTGTATTTTGGAAATACACTTTGTAAATTGGAAATAGCACATCAGGCCCAGGGACACGCTTTCATTTCTTCCCTCTGCTCTCTGTAGACCCAGCTTGATCTGTAGAGCAGTTTCACTGCCACCAGCTCCTGCGTTTCTGAACAACAACACCCTACGACCACAGGAAACAAACCACGGATATGCCGAAACATTCCTGGCTGTCTGTCCGTTTTGTTTCACAGTGCCTACACCGAAAACAATGAACAAACCTTGAGATTACAAATGATCTTACTATCACAATTTAAGAGACTCAATCTTTGACTTCCTGCCTGCAGGAAGGAAATGACAGCTGGAAGCGTGGAGAACAGGTGTTACCCTGAACAGCACGATATCTTCTGCTGACTAAAATAAAAACCACTGCATCAACATTCCTACGTGGAAGTGAGTTCTAACCACAAGATTCAGTCTTTCCACCACAACCCCAACTCCAGAAAACCAGATCTGTTTCCTACCAGGAAGTTGTTAAACCCGGCATTAAAGAGCAGCGTAAGGGACCGAGTTCTTTGAATCGGTCTTGGATGAATCCAAGTAAAGAATGTGGGTGGTGTGTGTGTAAATGTCCCCCCCACCTCCCACCTCCTTCCGGTTACTGGTGGTGCAATTGAGCAGTGGACGCGCCAGGGGAATTAGAAGGGAAAGAATCAGGATTGGCATAAACTGGTCTCAGCGGAAGGGCAGGTGATTTCAAATTCTCATCTCCTTTTGTCTTTGCCTCTAATTCGGGGGCTGGCGTTATTTCCTCGCGGGAGCTTAATGCTGCCACCATAGCATTCTCCAGTTTATCCTCCAGCTTATGGGGGACATTCTGTAGCCCGGGGTGCTCTTCATGCAAGTGTGGCTGGAGAAGCGTCCTCACCTGCCCAGCTCACTCCATAACCTTTACACGGGGGTGGGCCTGTTGTCGGGAGAGGGCAAGAATCACGGCCTCCCTCCTGTTCAGAGAAAGCACAGTCATCAGTGCACTCGTGTCATGGACACCAGCGGGTCGCATCGTACCAACGTTGTCTGTGAAGGTAAAGATGAAGAGAGATTAGGAGCCAGAGGTCAATCCTATGTGAGAAATGCAGAGCGCGTGTCATTTTTACGTTCCCATACATGGAAATAAAAATTGATCATTTCAAATGGAGTTAGAGACCCAGGCAAGAATCCTTTCTCTTGGAGCCAAGCAATTAGTATTCATTAACTGTCTTCAAGTGCTCAGGTCACAGTTCCTAGTAATATTCAAAATCTGTGGAAGAAATTACCATGCAGCATAGCACTGATGACTCGAGACAGAGGGCCAGGAGGTTAGAATATAATTTGCGTCTTGTCTCTCTTAAATAGAAATTTTGTCCGGGAAGTGAGAGTCCGTGACAATTCTGTGATATTAGAAACCGTTGGGGAAAGAGCTGTAGCTCGGATGGTTTCCTTTCATATTCTTGTCGCCAGCCCTCAAGGTCTCTTCTTTCCTTTGACGGGACTTCTGCTGAACACCAGTGGATTGGAAATCCAAGTTCAAATAAAATAGCTTGACGACAGGGCTAATTCTGTTGCGGGGGCGGGGGGGGGGCGGGGAGGGGGAAGGGGTGGAGGGCAGAGGGCAGAAGGCGCTGATCCTCAAAGCTGAGGCCGGAAACCTATGTTGACAGGGAGGCCAGGCGGCTCAGGGCCCCTCTGTAAAAAGCCGAAGGAACCTAGAAAAAGATTGGCTTGGGCCAGCCTGCCAGCAGGCACAGGGAAAGCCATCTGCTGGCTTCCTGGAAGGAATCAGATTCAGAGTCGGTTGGTGAGGTGCTCTCCTCACCCCTCTCCCTTCACTAGTTGGAGCCAAGGCTCTCCCTCCCGGCCCTCTCTGGCTCCCCGCTGCCTTCCCTTTCTCTAGGTGTGCGCTGCTCCTGCCCTTCCTGCACACCTGCCCTCACTTCCTTTTCCAAATGATGGAGTAAGTGTCTCTTCTGTCCAGACAACATTGCTTTTTCACTGCCACACACACATGCGCACACACACACACACGCCTACCACCCCACACTCAAGTCCTTCGTGGAATGTTTACATTCTGACTCACAGCGCATCCTAACGTCACCTGTCCCCGTTACTACCATGCGACACCAGATTCTCAGAAACACGATAGCTTCTTGTCTTCTTCTTGTGTGTATGGATCTGGAATGTCACAGATACCCCCAAACCTGTCTCCTCATCCCTCTCTTCCCCTCCCCTTCACAGGAGGAAGTTCCCTGTGTTAGTTACCATACCATTAATGTTACACTTCTGCCCTCAGTTTTGTTGTCCACAACTTTCCTTTCTCCACGCGGCTGGAGCATTTTTCAGGCAGAAATCTTCTGTCCTTCATCTACCTTCACACCCCAGCACCAAGCACGAGCCAAATAAGTGCTCGATGGGACTCAAAAGTAGTTGTTGAAGGAAGGCTATTGATGGAGATGATTGCTGCCTTTTAAATATTTGATAGGCTTTTGGGCTCATACAGCCTGCTGTTAATATGTTAATCCTGATAACAGGTTCCTAACATCACCATGTTAGTTTTCTGACCAGCAAAATAAAAATGTTAACCTGCGCCACTGGGGCAATTTATGTGTGAGAACAAATAGCTCAAGTACCAGGAAGAAGTGTGGTTAGGAGGTTGGCAGTGTGAATCCAAACTCCCTTTTCAAAGCACTTTGAAGAAAGATGAGGAATAGTGTTGTACAATGAAGACCCAGGTTTTGGGTATCTCTTTTTGCCTGGATTTGCTTAGATGTAAAAATAAGGGATTGGATTACAGCTCTTCTCCTTTAGGTCTAAAATTTTGTGATTCCAGTGGTTCTACGTAACAGACATTTAAATGTTACATAAATTTTTCTGCGTGCTCAAATCAGCAACCAAAGCTACAGTGAAAGACTTGCTTTTTACCAGCGCCACAAAAATCACATTCAGAAGTCCATTTGACTCTGAATAATGGATGTGCAAACACATTAAAGTGCTCATTTCCACAACTGTTCTGTGTCTTTAAGAGCCCTCGCTTGTTAAGTTGGAAGATCATTGAACCATATGAGGGTCAATAAAAGAATAAAAAGTCACTGGTTGGTGATTCCAGTCCAAGGAACGTGATCCTAGTTGAGTATCTGTGTCCATATGCTGCTCGCTTTCCAAGGGGGAGGGTTTGGTCTCCCGCACCTCGTCCTGCCTCAGGATGGTTTCTGAAAAACTGATCAAGATCCTGGTTTTTGAACTCCTGGAGTTTGCTGCCTTCTCCACTCCCACGCTTGTGATTGTGGAACAGTTTGCCACCGCCTATCAAACGACGATGGGGAACCCCGAGAAAACACATTATTGGCTGATTGTTTCCTGCTCGATTGCCTATGTGGCTTCCGTGACTTTGCTGATTTGGGTTCCCATTAAAGTTCTCTTATTCAAGAAGCATCGCTTTACCAAAAACATTGTAGGATGGTGAGTAAAAGGATTCGAAAAAAGGAGTCTCTGATGTTTTCATAGAGACTTTCTCAGGTGCTTTGTGGAAGGATGTTAGCCTGGCACATATGTACATAATGTGTGCACATTATGATTAATGAGAAGTAATTATCACTGTTTCTATAAATGTATTGGTATTATGGTATCTTCTATATTTTTATAGGGGCCTTTTTTACTGACTGTTAGCAACAAATGACATGTATTCATCAGCTTGCAGTTAGCTTGAGTCTATGATACCCTGCCTAGTACACATTGGACCTAACTCCTCTGTACACTGAGCTGCATAAAGTTATCACCGTTACTCTGTAGAAATCTTAATTGTAAGATTATATTATAGAATTTTACTTTTGTGTAAAACAAAGTAATGTCTATTTTGAAATGTTTAATTGCATCATTTTGTAGGTCTATAGCATCCTTTGACCTTTAGCCAACTGAGATTTTTAAGCAACTGGTTCCTTTGCTTTGGTTTATTATCATTATTATTATTTTAATATAATTTATTGCCTAACTGGTGAACATACCATGTGTAAAGTGTGCTCTTGGTTTTTGGGGTAGATTCCCATCATTCATCGCTTACAACACCCAGTTCCTTTGCTTAGATTTTTAAACATAAAACTTTACTATGTTAGTAAATTCTTTTATCCTGGTATGTGGGGGGGACTATTTCAATTATAATAGAGGAATATTTTAAGTAAATTAAGATTTAATGTTGTTTAAGGCACTTGGGTGACTTGGTTGAGCGTCCGACTTCGGCTCAGGTCATGATCTCACGGTTCGTGGTTTCAAGCCCCGTGTCGGGCTCTGTGTTGACAGCTAGCTCAGAGCCTGGAGCTGGGTTCAGATTCTGTATCTCCCTCTCTCTTTGACCGTCCCCTGCTCATGCCATCTCTCTCTCTCTCTCAAAAATAAATAAAATGTTAAAAAAATTTAAAAAAGATTTAATGTTGTTTTAACTTAACAGTTTAGCTATTGTTGTATCACCTGTATTGAGTACAGATAATCCTAGATACTAAGATATTTTTCCTTTTAGATCTGTATTTATTTTTAAATTTTTTTTTAATTTAATGTTTGTTTATTTTTGAGAGAGAGAGACAGAGTGAGAGTGGGAGAGAGGCAGAGAGGGAGGGAAACACAGAATCCAAAGCAGGCTTCGGGCTCTGAGCTATTAGCACAGAGCCTAAACTGGGATTGAAACTCACAAACTATAAGATCATAACCTAAGCTGAAGTCAGATACTTAACTAAGCCACCCAGGTGCCCCTATTTTTTAAAGTTTATTTATTTATTAGAGGGAGGTGGGGGGAGCACAAATGAGGGGGAGAGAGAGAGAGAGGAGAGAGAGAGAATCCCAAGTAGGCTCTGCACTGACAGCACAGAGCCCCATGTGGGGGCTCTGTGAAATCATGGCCCGAGCCAGAATCAATAGTCAGATGCTTCACCTACTGAGCCACCCAGGCGTCCCCTTTTTAGAACTTTAGATCAGGTTCCTACTCATCTAAGCTTTCTTAGTTTTCTTTGATAAGTTAACCCTTCTTTCATGCTGATCTTTTATTTAAAAGTCAAACAACATCAACCCATTTGAAAAACAAGCAGCAGTGAATTTTAACAAGGGCAGATATGTAAAAGTAATAGATACAGCAATCTAGTGAGAAATACTGTCCGGAGGGTGCAGGCAGGGAGCGCTGAAGTGTGGAGTTCAACAGCATTCTTTAGGTGCTGATTTAGGATGTGGCCCCATGAACCTCGCCAGGGGACTTTCAGTTTCTGGAGGGCAAAGATCTTGAAGGGTTTCCGGAAATAAACTATTTGGTTTACCTTGCATTTATCAGTACATTTACCAGTGCAGTTTAAGGATTTTCCAAACCTTGGCCCAAAGCCTCAGGATTACCTGTCAAGTGGGTTTGGAGCTCAGCTGGGTCCTCTACTCCTCACACCACCCAGGAGTTGCTCTGACTGTCCCGGACTCCTGGCTGAGCTGGGAGTTTTGAGGGAAGGATGGAACACCCAAATGACCAATGGCTTTCTGTTGGTTTACTCCAGCCCCGGAAGGCACTCCTTGACTTTTTTTTTTTTTTTTTTTTTTTTTACATTAACTCACATCTCTACGATCCTAGGTTCTGATTATCAGGCAGCAAACCTTCCATATCAGTTATCATCATCATCATTATTAACTTATAACTGCTTCTTTACTGATCACATATATGCTAAGGGATTTATACGTGAATTTCATTTCTTTCTATACGATCTTGTGAGGTAGGTATTTTCATGACTTTATCATTATTATTCCCAAGGAGAAACTTATTATCAGAGAAGAGTTGTGTAACTTTCCTGGTCAATAACTAGTGAGTGAAAGGACCAGACTTTGGACCTCTGTCCAACCGAGTCCATAATTGGTACTTCCAACCAGTGTCCTAAACTGTCCCTTTGAATGACAAGGTCCCAATCTACTGCAGTCAGTGGAGAGTAAGGAAGAGAGTGGCCCTTCATTCCTACTTGCCAGTGCACATTCTGTTTTACAATCTAGTCTGCATATCCATCTTGTGCTAACCTGTCCTGGGATGTCACAATTACATCTTTAAGTGAATCCTTCAGGGAAACACTCTTCTGGTCTTTCATTTTCCTTTGTAGGTGTGGCTGGCCATAGGGGTTCTAAATTTATACACGATAGGTTATCTGCAATTTCAGTGAAACTCTGCAGTTATTTCCTCATAGGCTCATTCATGAGCACTGTCATATTGCTATCTTTTACTGGTACAGAATAGAAGAAACAATTACCAAGCACTATTCTAGGAGCTTTATATGCTCTGTACTATTAAATTTAAACTTTATGGCAGTCCTGTGAGGTATGTGCTAATGTTCTCATTTTAGAGATAAAGAAATGGAAACCTGAAGAAGTGAGCAGGTAATAAAGCTTGTAAGTGGTGAAGCTGAGGTTTGTATGCCCAGATTGGTCTGAATATGTGCTGTTTCCTCCATCTTGTGTAACTTTTCCATTATTCTTTTTGTCTTTGAATGCCAAGTGTATTTCAAGGACACTGCAACTCATGGCACCTAGGTGGCTTAATCAGTTAAGCATCTGACTTGACTTTGGCTCATGTCATGATCTCACAGTTCATGAGATTGAGCCCCATGTCATTCTCTGGACTGACAGCACTGAGCCTGCTTGGGATTCATTCTCTCTCTTTCTCTTTCTCTCTCTGCCTCTCCCCCTGCTCTTAAAATAAATAAATAAACTTTAAAAAAAACACACAATGACACTCTTTTAGTGTCTTTAAGATATAGTTCCTCCAAAGATGTATATTAGGCTATTATATGTGATTTTCAAAGATGTGTATTTGGATATTTTATTATATGTGGTAATGTAGAATGTGTATCTTAATTACTAGAAGATGATGGAAAAATAATTGCTGCTATAGGAGGTAGAGATTGAAGAATGCCTAGATAGATAGTTGTCTACATGAAATTGTATAGATTTTTAGCATTCACAGATAGATTATTGATGAGCTTATTTGAGGACCTCTCTGTAGGTTCGCATGGGCATTGTTAACCCCATGAATCTGGTATGTAGGAAAGAATGAGTCATCCAGCTAATAGAGTGTGTGCCCTGGCCACACAGCTGAGAGGTGCAGACCTGAGTTCAAATCCCAGCTTTGACATTGACTGCGAGGTCTTGTGTGAGTTATTTGAGTTCTTTGAATTTTAATTTTCAGAATGATTCTGAAAAGTAGTAGAAGTGATGATAAAACTGATAAAACTGAAGAAAATTATATGCTATCAGTGATACTCTTTGAACTTAGAGAATCTTGTGGGTCTCTTTTATCCTTTGAGAAAATGAAGGCCAGTAGAGTGATATCATGAATATCTTATAAAGTATTTGGCATATATACTGTTCTTTTATGTTTTATTTTTCCACTTGACCTGCACACCAGTGTTACAAGATTGACCAAGGGATACAATGCCTATTCTGTAAGGAAGGAAACAATGTCAGAGAGCTTAAGACATATGCACTAAATCAACAGTAGAGTCTGAACTTTAATCCAGTGATCTTTACTCTGTGAAACACTTCCTCATTCTCTTTAGAATGATCATTCCTTTTCAGGGATGCCTGTCTTAATTCATAACAGACTGGGGAAATGGTTTGAGGAATGAGGAAACTCTATTTAGAGACACACCAAATTGGTATGTCCCAGTAAATGAGAGAAATCCTTTCCTGGGGTATCAGTGAACATGTGAAACCATTGAGCTATAGGGCTAGCCTGCGACTGGGGAAGATCTCAGCGAATAGGGTACCTGGGGATAGGATAATTGTGGAGAATTTGTGGGGACTCCCAGAATGCCTTGGAACCCAGAGCTGCATTTTAGGGAATTCTCTCAAGTCCTTCAGCATACAATTACTTTAGATCGTGACATGTCAGGAATTCTGGGCAGTGTCCCCTTGGAAACACCCCAACATTTTGAACTCCATTTTGCCTTGCTTAAGTCCTTAATCTCTTAGCCAGAATTCGCTGTTGATTCATTTAAGATAGTGGTAGCAACAGTAGTAGTTGTTGTAGTTGCAGTAAAATAAGAGCAAGGATTTACTGACAGCTGCTGTGTACCAAGCATAGGTGTAAACACATTGCCTATATTATTTTAGTTAATTCTCTAACCTTTATATGCAAGAACACTTACAGTGCCCATCTTACAAATGAGGGAATTGAGGCACAGAAGTTACACAACCACACAGCCAGTGAGCTGTGGAGCCACATCTGACCTCAGGGTGGTCTGTCTCCAGAGCCTGGTCTCCTGGGCACCTTGCTGTTCCACGGCGGCACACACAGGTCACGTGCACAGCACGACTAACATCTGGGCACTGCTGGACAGGCTGGATAAACTGAAGCTAGTAGAGCTTGCTCTCTTCAGTCCCGGGAAGGTCATCAGGACTTAGGTCATCATGAACTAAACATTGGTGCTTAATGGCACCCCCATTTCTTTCAGTGG